ACCACTTTATTTAACAGCGCCATAGACAACCACTCACTACCCACGGAACTATTACGAGCGCATATCACCACCCTCCCCAAACCAGGGAAATCCCCGACCACATGCCCAAATTTCCGACCGATATCCCTACTCAATACAGACGCCAAGATCTTCGCAAAACTACAAGCCAATAGACTAAAAACTATCCTACCGGACCTCATACATGACGACCAAGTGGGTTTCGTAAAGGGTAGACAGGGCTCAGACAATACCCGCAAAGTTCTAAACCTAATGCACAGCGCTAGAAAACTAGGAAGGGAGGGCATATTTGTCTCTCTAGACGCGGAGAAGGCCTTCGACAGACTCAACTGGACCTTTTTAAACAGGGTACTCCACAGATTTGGCTTCCCCTCGCAATTCGTGGCAGCGGTAGACGCCCAATACAACAAACCCCTGGCACAAGTTCTATACACAGGATTCCCGTTACGGACCATAAAAATCTCTAATGGCTCCAGACAGGGATGCCCCCTCTCCCCTATGCTTTATGTACTGGCTTTGGAACCACTAGCATCCAAAATCAGGTCAGACCCGAACATCCATGGCATCCCTCTAGGAGATAAAGAATTCAAACTAAACATATTTGCAGATGACATCCTTCTCACCTTAACTCAGCCATTCATATCCATGCCCAACTTAATGCGACAAATAGAACTCTTTGGCCACCACTCCCACTATAAACTGAATGTCTCCAAAACACAGGCATTAACGATAGGAGTGACTAAAGAGGCGAGAAACAGATTGAAGGAGGCGTTCCCCTTAGACTGGAGGTCGGACTATTTAACATACCTAGGACTCAAACTCACGAAAAAAAACACAGATCTCTTCCACGCAAACTATATTAAACTCTTAAAAGACTTCGACAACACCCTCAAATCATGGGAGGGGAAGTTCCTCTCATGGTTGGGGCGCATAGCAGCATTCAAAATGTCACTGCTCCCAAAACTACTATACCTTTTCCGGACACTACAAATACCTCTACCAAACACTTACCTTAAGTCGATCACCGCACTGTTTATGAAATTTACGTGGCACCACAAAAAGAGCCGGGTAGCCGCTAAGGTCCTGCAGAGGAGGGTAGCAGACGGTGGCCTGGGTATCCCAAACCTGTATCATTACTATAAGGCAGCGATTTTAAGCACCATGTTAGCTGCACACGACCCCCACTACACACCCCAGTGGGCAGGAATAGAAGCCTGTAGGCTTAACACAGATCACATACGCCATACTTTCTGGACTGATAGAGCTCGGAGACCAAGACCATTCCAAGGCCTCCCCACTACTCGGTTGCTGTTAGACACATGGGACGGGGTGAGGACCACTTTGGTTACACATCCAAGGATACCGATGGCGGCCCCACTGCAATCCATAAGCCTAATGATTCCTACCTTTAACCATAAGCCATGGACAGATAAAGGCATCACCCACGTACTATATCTGTACGATGGGGAGCACCTCAAATCCTTCATAAGCCTACAGGAACAATCTGACCTACCCGCGAAACTCCTATTCCCCTACCTACAAGTCAAATCCCTACTAACAAATGCTCCACCCAGAAACCCTGAGAAGGGACCACAAGCACTAACATCTAAGTTCGAAAACATGTGCCTATCTAACAAGCCCAACGCCAAGTCTCTCTCCACATGCTACCACTTGATTCTACACAACCAACCACTGACACAGGAATACTACCAAAAGGCATGGCACACCGACCTAGGCATAGAGTTTATTTATTTATTTATTATTGCTATTTATAAAGCGCACACAGATTCCGCAGCGCTGTACAATTAGTTGAGAAACGTACAATATACACAAACAAATACAATAGGTAAGAGAGCCCTGCCCGTAAGCTGATATCTAGCCATTGGAGCTCTTTTATACAAAGTGCTTAGCTAGATGGCCCGTGAGCTTACAATCTAAAGGATACCAGGGGGAGTAGGCATGTGTTATAAACTATTGAAAAGTTTAGCAACCAAATTCTATCACCCAAAATATTAATAACTGTCTACATGAAATATTGGTCAGAAACATTAAATGACAGTGGTACACACTGCATGCACATAACATTACAGTGGCAAACTACATGTATAAATTGTAACAACTCTATAGTAACACATGAGAATTTTGTAGCAATCCAGTAATACGGGAGGTGGAGTATCTTCCAAGCTTCAGTCAGTACCTGAGAGTGATGGGTGTTTCTGCAGGATGGTAAATGCAGTCTTCACTGAGTTGATTGTGAAGTGAGGCCTGAGAGTGATGGGTGTTTCTGCAGGATGGTAAATGCAGTCTTCACTGAGTTGATTGTGAAGTGAGGCCTGAGAGTGATGGGTGTTTCTGCAGGATGGTAAATGCAGTCTTCACTGAGTTGATTGTGAAGTGAGGCCTGAGAGTGATGGGTGTTTCTGCAGGATGGTAAATGCAGTCTTCACTGAGTTGATTGTGAAGTGAGGCCTGAGAGTGATGGGTGTCTCTGCAGGATGGTAAATGCAGTCTTCACTGAGTTGATTGTGAAGTGAGGCCTGAGAGTGATGGGTGTTTCTGCAGGATGGTAAATGCAGTCTTCACTGAGTTGATTGTGAAGTGAGGCCTGAGAGTGATGGGTGTTTCTGCAGGATGGTAAATGCAGTCTTCACTGAGTTGTTTGTGAAGTGAGGCCTGAGAGTGATGGGTGTTTCTGCAGGATGTTAAATGCAGTCTTCACTGAGTTGATTGTGAAGTGAGGCCTGAGAGTGATGGGTGTTTCTGCAGGATGGTAAATGCAGTCTTCACTGAGTTGATTGTGAAGTGAGGCCTGAGAGTGATGCGTGTTTCTGCAGGATGGTAAATGCAGTCTTCACTGAGTTGATTGTGAAGTGAGGCCTGAGAGTGATGGGTGTTTCTGCAGGATAGTAAATGCAGTCTTCACTGAGTTGATTGTGAAGAGAGGTGCAAGTGCGGGGCATGTCCACCAAACGTGGATCATCGTGCCCACTTCCTTCTCACAGCGCCAACATGTGTTTGTGGAGGTGGGCCAAATTTTGTGTATTTTTTCTGGCACTAAGTACCAACGGTATAGTAGTTTCCGTTGTATTTCTAGGTGTTGAGTTAAGCCCAGAACAGTGGAAAAGAGCTTACTCAGCACACAAAGGCCTGACATCATGCGCCCAACACCTAGAAATACAACGGAAACTACTATACCGTTGGTACTTAGTGCCAGAAAAAATACACAAAATTTGGCCCACCTCCACAAACACATGTTGGCGCTGTGAGAAGGAAGTGGGCACGATGATCCACGTTTGGTGAACATGCCCCGCACTTGCACCTCTCTGGACACAAGCCATACATATCGTATCGGACATGCTAGGCTACCAAGTGGGAAAAAACCCTGTACAATGCCTGCTGTATGTATTCCCTGAAAGAATGCCCAAAGCTCACCAAGCATTAATGTACCATACACTGGCATCAGTACATATTCTAATAGCGAGACATTGGAAGTCCAAGGACATACCGTCACATACACATCTAAGAAACCAAATCGCACTCAATTGGTCATATGAGGCCATGCACCAACACCAATTTGGCCCGAGACCTGCGTTAGCTAAGGCACAACACATATGGGATAGGTACCTAAACCAAACTGAAAACACCGCAACACAAGAATTTCCAGCGGACAAGGGCGCTATCTGTGGCGGGGGACTGGGGAGCCCCAGCCTGGGGTCACGAAGGATCAAGATCCAAGGGACAGAAGAAACTTGCCGCTCACCCGCTCTCCACCACGCAGGAATTCCTACCAAACCACCTGGGAACCCCAGGGTCATCCCTCCACAAAACCCCCCCTGACACCCCTCCCTCTCTCTGTCTCCCCCCTATCTATACCCCCCTATAACTTTACTCTCCCTACAAAATATTTGAGACATGTAGTTTGCAGGATTCATGTACCTAAAATCTTTAAGTAGTATTGGAATGTTTACCCTGATTGTTACCGAAACACTCTACCATACATGTAATCGCGATCAGGATATCCAAACTACCAGCACAACTGTAATGCAGCTACATGACTAAATAAAAATTGTCAAATTCAAAAAATAAAATGTCCGCCGCCTCGTGGTCGACATACGAACAACGACCACTCTGCATTCGGTTTTAATTGAGAAGTGTCTGCGGTTAACCACAAAGTTCCAATTGGGATAAAGAGGTTAACCAGTAGCACACTTCTCTTCTGGGTGGCCGTCTGTTCGGTAGTTTTGTTCGGCGGAAAAGTCAATTTACTGAAAAGGGGCATACAAACGGGTAATTCCATGAATAAGGTAAAACAGACGAACCAGCAATCCCAGTCTATACAGATGGATCTGTCACAGAAAACATCAGCAAAACAAGACTCCTATTTCCAGAAGTATGTTCTCATTTATTCATTTTGTATTACCATCTTTTTCATGTAGAGTAAACAGTGTGGTAAATTAGAGTTTTAAACAATGACTTTTCGGATCTTTGCATGTTTCAAAAACAACCCCTCTCTGGTGACATGTCCACTTACATGATGGAGTTTGAGGGAAAATTGTGAAGGTTGATGTACTTACCTAAGCCTCTCTCTCATTTGTGCCACCACCATCTTCTTGGTTCCAACATTCAGCTTCCCAAGGCTTCAAAGTCCATGATTTGCATCATGGAGTTATCAGGGGCATTGCAAAGTTTTAAAAACACCTGGAGCTTGAGCACAAACAAAAAATGAATAACCCTTAAACTAACAGAGAGACTTGGTTATGTCTTGACATATCCCCACATTTCTTTGGTATTTCCACTCCTCTCTACCTATGAACACTGTGCTGTTGATGCAGGAACAAGCACATACTGCACAACCAGGTTTTCAATGTGATGACACTACACTACATTATTAATAGACGGGTGTCTTTTTCCCAGCACCCCTCACCCTATTCATCTATGAGGACACCACTCTCTCCCATTAAGTAGGCTGGCGTTACAATATTGATCTTTCTTTTTATAAAAAGCAGCGGTTTTGTGAAATCCACTTAAAATTTACTTTAATTTCTTAATTTAAATATGTATGTATCTATCCATACGATGATAACTGGAGACATGTTCCAATTTCAAGCTTGAGTACTACCGCAATACACTGGACATTTCTTATTATACAAAACCTCTTTGTGTGTACAGGTCATATACAGGGATACAATGATACAATGTTCCCTTCCAACATGAATTGGTGTTTGTCAATTGTAATTTAAGCATTCTAGAAGGTGTAAGGTACCATCTATATATTAGTGTCACGACTGCTGGTGTGGTCCAGCACGCAAAACTATGTAACATCTACATAGACAGAAGGGAAAAAGACAGAATGTAAACAGGTCCTTAGAATGGCCGGACTAATACGTTAAAGAGAGAGAATGATCAAGGAAGCCAGAAATACACAATACAATTTAAACAAGCCAAGTCAGGGAAACCAGAAATCAGAGTAGTCAGGAATAGCCAAGGTCACTATACCGGGAATATCAATAATAGGAACAGAAAACGCACTCTCGGGAACCAGGACAGGCAACCACGACAGGGCAATGAACTGAGTAGCTTCAGGGATTTAAATATCCCTCCTTTGACTGAGATTGGTCATTGGTACATCGACGTCGTGACATCACATGCAAGTTCGTATGACCCTGGAGGGCGGGGTTATAAATGGCTGCGACCGCCTTTTTTCTTTAGAGCATGCGGCCAGGAGAAGCCGGCAGAGCGGCTCCCGACTCGCCGCTGAGCAGGTAAGCGCAGTTCTTTGGTGTGGTTGTGCCGGTCGGGTGTGACCGCACCTCACGGCGAGCCGGGGGCCGTGACAGTTAGTTTGTAATGTGTTTCTAGGAGTGATATACATTGTGTAATGCCTTTCAGTGTTAGTAAGGATTTGTGCCTGTCTTCAACTTCAAATTCCTCACCCAGCACCAGCAAAATAGGAACAAGGAAAAATCTTGTCTGCCTCCTTCTCGAGCCAACAAGGGCATCCACAATCCAAGTTAAATTTAATCGCCATAGCAGCGTTAGTTGCCCAATAGTAATTAATTAAATTTGGCAAACCCATACCTCCACTAATTCCAAGTTTCTGCATTATGCTTATTTTGATTCTACATGTTTTTTTATTCCATAAGAATGTCAGAAGGGCAGAACGAACTCTTCTAAAAAGAGATAAAGGCATTGTGAGGGGGATTGCTCTGATAAAATATAAAATTTCTAGAAGGAGAGACATCTTAATCGAAATAATCCTACCTAACCATGAGATTTCAAGACTACACCAGCTCTCCCTAATTTCGGTCCAGACTTTAGCCAGGTTTCAGATATGCAAGTTCCTCCACAGGTAAATGCCCAGATAGTATACATAGGAGTCCCTCCAGTCAAAGTCAAATTTCAAAACACTTAAATCATATCACAGAGTGTAGAAAAAAAGAGCCTGATAGTTCACCAAATTCACACAAGATGGACATTAAGGAGTTGACTGACGTAACAGGAGTTTTCAATGAAAGCATAATGTCATCTACAAAAAGGCCAATTTAATGCACCCTGACCCCTGCTACGATACCCTCTATAACTGCACACTGTCAAATCATTTCATCCAGGGGCTCCATGGTTAACACAAACAGGAGTGGCGACAACGGACAACCCTGCTTGGTCCCATTGGACAACTTAAAAGTTTCAGAGATAAAACCAGTTGCAGATCAATTGGTCTAAGATCCATGCGCAAAG